GGAAAAAGTTTTCCTGAAGCCAAGTGCTCTTGGAAATTTTTGTTTGAGCTCTTGGTAACAGGATATAAAACCATTTCTTGGTATCTCTGATGAGATAAAATACATTCTGTTGTGCCTGTGTCCTGAGCACATCAGGGATGGAATTTTGGAAGTGGGGTTGGGACAGTTTTGAATGGGAAGTTTTTTGGGTTGTCTCTTTTGCCAAGATGCTTTTTAATCTTACTAGGTTCCAACTCTCAGCTGTAATGACTGAAGGGAGGCTAGGGGGTGGGTGGCAGAGCAGGTAAGACATCTCACAAAAGCAGTGCTTCTCAACCTCTGTGGATTCCAGGCCCCACTCCATAACTCTGCTGAATTTAGTGGTACCCCATTTCAAGAACTATATTTCACTCATTTTTCTGACTATTAGAAAATAATTGAGCAATTCTGTTATGAAGAGCTCAGAAAGACCACAAGTCAGAATGTTTGACACTGTGGAATCCTATTTGAAATCTCTGGGTTTATCTTGTGAATCATGTTTAGGTGTCTGGACACCTAACAGTGCTAATATTGTGTGGAATCCCACAAAGGATCTCACAGCACCCAGGGCGCCAGGGAACTATAGTTGACAATCACAGCCCTAGAGGTTTGAGGTTGAGCCTTGTACTGAACTTGCATCGAAGGCTGCTCCCAGCTGACCCAGAAAATGTGCAGCTGGTCATTTGGGCTGGAGCGTCAAAGGCACCTAGACATGATGCCAGCCACATTTCTTGTATACTGTTCACAGCGGAAACCAGTGTGCCTTAACCACACCAGCCCTAGCTTCTATTCTTGGGTGGATCTTTCACTAGATGTTATTAGTGTAGCACCCTAAGTATGTCTGGTGCTTATGTATCATATAAGGCAGATGCAGAGGTGGAACCCTTACCATTTCCATACACATTAACAAAGCTACAATCACATGTGCGGCCTGTCAGAAGGAAACACAATCTATATATTCTTACTAAGCTCAGAAAACCAACCTTCTGGAGCAGACCTCAATGGGCAAGACTTTTCCTTTCTGCAGAAGACCAGTGTGAATGCACTGCTGTATGCGCACTGGTGAGTGAAGAGACAGCTTCACTGGTGCACTGATCTCCTGCCAGGATCTCTGCACAAAGGTGAACTTCCTCCAAGGACATTATTACTTCCAAGAAACTAGACCCATGATGGCAATTTGTTACATTATGTTATCTATTGTGTTCATTACAGGGCAGGGCAAAGGGTAGCTTCCTTTTCACTTCTCTCATTGTCAATGAAGTGCTTATCCAGACCAAAAGCAGAAAAAACCATGAGTCTGATTCTCAGCTGATGCAATTTGGTACAACTTCAGCTCAGGATGGGGTCCTCTGATATGACAAGGAATCCATTCTCACAACGATTTTCTCCCTGCATCTCATTGCCAAATTGCTGCTCTTAAGAAAATGATCAATGTAAAATATTCTGTTATAGTTACGAGAAGTAGTTTTACACCCAATCTATGAAATCTGCAGTGATCACAATAGTGACAAACTCTCTCTAAAAGGACAGCATGCTGCCACCAGCTAAGTAGATATGGTATTTTTGATCCTACTGATTTAACAACAGATAAACTTGTATATAGCATTGTACTGTGCTCTTAAAATCCTAGCTAAATGAGAGGCTTGTACATTTGATGGCTTCAAGTTCACTATTCCAAACAAACTGAATAATAGCAGTACATTTTACAGATTACTTCATACAAATAATGTCATCCATCACTGATGTCAACAGATACATTCTTAACAGAATGCAGACCCCACTGTAAAAACCTGATGAGAAAATAAAAAGCTTATTACTTCACATTTTTCTTATCACAGACATCAATAAACATGACTCCCTTTCATAAATATCTATATATATATGATATCAGTAACATGGGTGATATTCATCCCTGTACAAAAGACCAGCACAAAGGCCTATTTAAGGACTGAGTCGTGTGCAAGCCTATTTTGGGAGCCTAATATCAGTATGCAAGTGGTGGATAGGCCCTGATGGTCCTGTGCCTAGGGGAATTTCCTTCTGTCTTACTGATTCTTATTTTTATCTTATCTAATAAGACTGCAGTATGCAAACAAACTGAGTCAGGAAATGGAAAGAGAGTAATAGGAGAAATCTTCAAAGGTACAAAGGACTGTTTGTTTCCATTTTACAGTGGCTCTCTGGTGAGCTCCTAACTTTCATGTGTGCCTTCGAAAATCACAACTCTCTCTTCTGTCACAGTCCCAATCAACTCAACAGGCTAAAATGCTTATTATTAATTAGTTGCAGAAAGACAAGAGGAAAGGAAGAGGAAATGGGCAGAAGAAGGCCCAGAATTTCTGTGAGATAACACAGTAACCTATGATATTTTCAAAGGTCAAAGTTAGTTTTCCAGAGATCAATCTTCAAGGTCCTGAGAACCTCCTGTGAGCTGCTGTAAGATCTCAGCTCTTAATGATTTCAAGTGATACATGACAAGGCAATGGGAGTTGGAGGCAAATCAGCAGCTCACAGGAAGCCCAGAATCTTGAAATGTCAGGTTCTTACATTAAAAAGAAAAACGAATGACACATGATACCCATAAATTGCTAATGACCATTTTTCCTCCTTACTTACAGTATGAGTGTAAAATGAAACAACCACTGAAAATGAGAGTTATCACAAACCAGCAGACACAGCTTACTAAGAGGTCAGCTCTTGAATATCCTAGTTCAGGACTCTTGTGAGCCACTAGTTCCATCACTAGGAAGCTGGCATGGACTTTTGAGAGCTAGACAGCAGACTCCCTTTGATTCACACAATTCAACATAAACAAGTCTGTGTCTCTGGTAGTACACTATTATTAGCAATGATTCTGAATGTGATTATAAAGAGTACCTGTATATCATTTGATTCCTTAGCAGCTGTTTTCTAAACCAACAATATGGCAGTATGAAAACGTTAGTTTTGTGGACAAGTACAAGACAAGGTTCTGCAAATAACACTAATAGCTATTTTCTTAATTTTTTATGGAGAATTAATGGATAAAAATATAAACCAGGCTTTTTACATATATAAACCATGTTATGTTTGTTTAAGGAAACATCAAAGATTCTGATCCTCCTTAAAAATCCAGGATTGTATAAGGGTCAAAGCCTGCTCTCACTACAGTAAAACTACTGATTTCAATGAGAGGAAAACTGGCATTAGAAAGGGTGTCAGTCTTTACACTGTCAGCTTTAGCTATACTCAAAACTAAGAAAAAGCTATTATTTATGATTAAGGCTTTGAATGTAATTGGAATTCCTGTGATCTGTTCAGGTCCCTCCTGACCCTAGCTACTATGAAACTATGAATTAGCCATTTTTTCTTAGAAGAGCAGATGCTCTTTTTAGTAGTAGTAAATATTGGTTTCTATTGAGGAAAATTAGTATTTTTGACTCTTTCCATAAAGAAATTAGCTTGATCTGTTCTTAGTTTCAAATGTTCATTGGTCTATGCCAAGTATCTTTCTTGCTTAGTTTCAAAAGGAACAGTAGGTAAGTGATATGGAGTGGACAGCTGGTGTTGAATCCTCCCTACTAAAACAACAACAGGAATAACAACAGGAAGAAAACAAAAAACCTTGTGCTGATGCTCCAAGGGAATCTTACAAAGAGTAAGTACTGTGTTTAGGACCTACTATTATCCAACGCCAATCAATGCTTTCATCGTGCTTTTCATTCAAGCACTCTGGAATGCTACACCTCCTAAGGTAAAAGGGTTTACAAACTAATAATGAAAAAAAAATCAGATCTAAAATGCAAAGTTTAAGAACAGAGTTTTGGTGAAAGAGGGAGGAGGTATGAGCTGACACAATGGGGGGGTTATTATTCCAGAGCTTGGATTGTAAACAAATATTGCTTGTTTCAAAGGAGTAAAGATTATTATTTTAACTAATAAAGGATTAATAATGGAAAAATACAATTCATGGCCAGAAGAGTAAACATACGTTCATTATGATCAGTACCAAATGGACAATGCCTATGAAGTCTTACAGAGAATCCGCACAAATGTAAGTATCTGAGAATTCAATGGTATGAGACAAACTGGTATTTCTGTTAGGACAACAGGTCAATTTTCTGCAAGAAGATACATCCATATAAATATTTTCCATACCAGTATTTCATTATTTGGATTTGATCTGCGTAAACTCACAAAGAACGAAAAAGACAGCAACCAGGTTGATAGGGATTTTGGTGAGTAGCAAATGGGAATGTATTTTCAGTATGAGGTTGACTTTAATGGCCTTCAGCCTTGTCTCCTGTGTGTACCCAGTCATAGATGACCAAAGGAATGCTAACGAGGGAAAATACTAATCCCAATGCCAAGAACAAAAAAGCCTGAAATAAAAAAAGAACAAGTCTTTTAACTAAGGCAACTTTGTTTTGTTAAGGAAATTCACAAGTTGATATTTCAAAATTACGAATTAAAACGAAGACGCTCTTTTGGGTAGTGCAGAAACAGAAGATACATAAATTTATGAATGTCACTAATATAATTACTTATTGAGCCCAGAAAAGGAAACATTCCTCTGCCCTCAGTTCACAATTTCTGCTGCAAGTGTTGCATCCCAGTGACCTGGTCTGAAAAGTACTGAACAGATCTTTCCTGGGGCCCACAAGCTCTGCTCCTTAACTAACCAAAGGGCTCACTGAAGACCAAAGGAAAGCATTTTCTTCTCATCAGGGTCAATTTCTATTGCACTTTAGTACTTGTTGGTTTACGGAGGTAGAGAATGGAGGCACACGTGAAACCAAGACATAACTATATGCCTGGAAGCTACTGCAAACCTGGCTGAAACAAAGAAATCGGATAAAATTGCTCCAGATTAGGCCTCTGCCATTGTCATATGAATGAAGCCAAAAGTACGTTAAGAGAAGGCCTGATTCACAAGTATCAAAAGTACTCTCAGCAACTCCCAGAGAGTATAATAGAGACTCCATTGGCACTGAAGTAAATTCTAGGACATTACCAGGATCTTCCTTTTAGAAGTCCAGTGAAAAGATGCAATACTCTGCTGAGATCATATTGCCACAGTTCTGTATGCTTGTACATGGCTGAGAAGCTAGAATTTCAATGGCCTCCTTATGTAGGGGTGGCATCCAAAACATGATGAGTGTGAAATGCAGTAAACATAATACATTTCAGATTTTTTCAGGCAATGTGTTACAATGGGAAATGCATAGAAGGCTAAGGTAGCAGTCTCTCCCTCCCTGACTTCACAGGACTCAGAACCTTGCTAGGTTTTGTTGTTATTTGTTTTGTGATAGCTCCAAGCAGATCAGGCCTCCTTTACACTAGACACTCTACAAACACATAAGGATACATGATTCTGTATAAGCAGACTGACCTTACGCCCTACTTTGGCTGGGACAGTCCTGCATTTTGTAGGCCATCCCGGGTGGTTGGTGAAAATGGAAACAGAAGACTGAGATAGTACCACCCAGTCTGTGCTGTCTGGCCCAGCTCCCCCTAAGCAGCTAGAGGTTGGGGGTGGGCTGGGCCCCACTTCTCCTGTGTGGGGTGGGGATCAGCTGAGGGAAGGGCGAGGGGGATTTCTTTAAAAATATGGTCACCTATGTTTAAGGAGGATTATAATTTAATTTAAGCAAAACGGACCATGAGAGCATGTGGCAAATAATAGGAGAAAATGAGGGAGGAGGAAGGTATCTGAAATAGGTGGACATGCATGTTCAGACAGCCACATTAGATCTGTTCTCATTCTGGTAAATTTTAATGATCTATAATAAAACATACCCAAATCCTTTGACTCTGTTTTGCTCCATCCTGTTGTGTGATTTTTAAATATAATGATGAAGGAAGAATGAAAATCAGCATATTGGCAGAAGTTACCCCTGAAACATGCAAATAAATGAGTTTTGTCATTGTGGAATTTCACCTGTCAATAGCAGCTTTCTCAGTAGCAACATTTATTAGCATGCATCTGTCTGTCATTTGAGACAACAGAATTGCACCGGGTGAGACATTAGCTTGATGAATGTAATCTTTGTTTGAAAGATGAAGTTAAACTGGAGTGACCTCTCCAAGATGCAAAAACCTGGGTAGTGTATATGGAAAGACTGAACTACCCACATACCAGGGTTCTCCTCTTGGCCTTGCTGACTTAATCTAAAGGAAAGGCAGGTGCCAGGAAGTCTGGAACCAATTTGGCTGCAGGAGCTGCCATAGCAAAGGAGATCATCCATGTGTCCGTCTATCGGAGGTCCACTGCTAGAGTGGCTGCTGAGCAGGATTAAAGCGCCCAGTCCACCCTATTATCATGGAGTGGACTTGTTCTACAACCTTTTGGCAGCATTTCCTTCACTGGGGTAAGACTAGTACCCCCCCTCCAACGTGCTCTTTTGTACAAAACTATTGGCACCTTAGAGGTTGCCAGGTTATTTAACTGCCACCCAGCACTCGGTGTTAACAGTCGCAGGCAGTGCTTAAAGGTCTACTGTAAGTTTCTGTAGCAAATGAACCTGACCTGACCTGCAGTTAAGAATCAAACCCCTAATCAAAACACTCAGTACAAAGACTATACAAAGGCCAGACCCAAGGCACATTTCTTCAAGGAACAGATTTAATGTAGGGGCTTCACATCCCCTTAAATGAAACACTGACTCTAAGAAGGCTTCTTCTTGTAGACTCTTTCTTAGGCCATAGGAGACTTTGTTGGCCACCTTTAAATGGGAAGAAAGCCCCCCCCAGGGATTGCTTAATGGTCAGACAAGAATGTAATGAGAAGCAACTATAAATATAAATAGTATAAAACTAGAATACTGTACCTATAACTCCAAATATGTCCTTCATGGTTGGAATAAAAATTACTAGCATATTAATAATAACCAACAGGACAAGAGTAACCAGCACATGATGGCGTAATTCAATCTTGGTTTTTTTAGCTAGCTCAAATAAAGAAGAACGCACCTGCAGAAAAAGAATGAGTTCGGTCAGAAGCAGGATATACCATTCAAGCACTTCTCAAACTAATTCTTGTTGATTCTGAGCATGACAATGAAATTTATGTGAACTTCAGTAATTCTGGAGCATTCAAATATAGGATCCTTTGGAATAACCTTTACATTTAACTTGATTTCTGAAAACAGGATTAGAGCGCTTGTGTCTGGGTTGGTATTTTTCCCCCCATGATGATATTTATTTGCAGCAGTGGGCTATGTTACTGCTGTCTGTTTATGTTTCAGAATTAACTAGCCATATTCTGACAGGCTATTGAACAAGGAGCCCTCAGGCCCAAGCTCTTCCAGCAGTGGGCACTATAAAAGGGAGCAGGACCACTGGCTGTTTAGATACTCTCTGCGCAAATTTATTGCTGTTCTGCTGGAGTTAAAAACTCAGGTAATTTGTATGAGTGTAATTAAGCAAGGCTGGGAAAGAATGGAGAAGGACCTTTATCATTTAAGACTGACTTAATACGAAGTGATCATTAACTTACTTTAATCCCATAGCAGTTTATTAATTCACACATGCAGAACTTCTCCTTTAAGTCAAGTTCAAGTGGGTCTTTGGAAAAGCTGACTACAGGATCTAGTCTTTGTAGCCTGAATGTCACTGATTCTGAAACTCACAGCATCCAGCTGTGCTCTTGAAAAAGGGCGCCTATTACTGAATTTAACTATTTCCAAACTGCAAGGAGCCTTTTACTTACAGTGAAGAAAAGCACTGGAACTGTAAGTATTACTGCAACAATTACAGCCACTCGCACTGTCAGAATGAGGACATCACCTTTACTTTGGTATTTGTGAAGCAGATTTGACCCCACAGTGTCTACAGGAAACACAATAGAAAAAGTGGTCAAGCAAAAAGGCAATTAATTCACAGAAACCATCACTTAACAAGAGTGTTTGTGAACAACAAATGATTTATCTACAAACAAAAGGGCCAGGAATGAAACAGGCTCTAGCATTTTACACTATGCTGAAATGATCCCATTACCTCAATTTAGGAAAGCATCCTAATTCAAGAAAACATATACCTAACTTCATGCAAAATCCCATTGTAGAAAAGGCCACAGTAAGGCAAGCACTACTGTTTCTATATATTTTTTTAAACGAAAGGCAAAAAAGAGGCTACTGCTATTTGGGTTTTTTTTCCTGGCAGTTTAAAATGATATAAAAATAACCACATGCACTGCAACTTCTGAATTTATACTAAATTATAAGGTTGAACTAAACTAGTACAAACAGCAAATAAACTGCTAAAAGAAAACAGAACAGCCACTCCTGAAGAACAAAGCCCCTTTTAGGTTAACCTTTTTCCTTTCAGCATGACATTTCTCCAGCCACACTGAAGTTGCTATCTAGCTGCCCTGGATGGCTGCCCTCCCTTGCTTTTTTTATGAACCTGCCACCCCACCTCAACATCACTTGCAGCTCTTGCACCTCTGCAGCCACCTCCTGGAGTCCGTGTTCCATTCTAAATGCTGCTAACCTGGGTCAATATGATGGCTACACAATGGTGTTCTGACAACATTTGAACAAGGTATGCCACAAAGGTCTCCCTTCCCCCGTGATAACTGCAAAAGGACTTGGTGTACCTCCACTCTGGCAGACAGGAGGGAACTGGAGAATGTGTTAATTTGTTTACATACATTCATAACTTCTTATAACCATAACCAAAGGAAGCAACTCCACAGTGCATAATGAGGATATTACAAAAGGGGCACAATTTGTTTATGACAAGAAAGGTTTATGTCACCTGATGGTACCCCTAAAGGTATAGCCTGGATAAACTGGGGTAAAGAGTTTTCATGGAATGTTCTGAGGATATTTGGCTTAAAAACAAGCTCTTGCTTGGTGTAATCTGGTCTATTCCTGAAGGAAAAACTGAACAAACCAAAATCTGCTCTCCAGAAAGATTTCGGAGTTCCAGGGAAAAGTCCTTCCTATCATGGACCACCTATCACTTTCCAGAGAGGATGTGAACCCGGTCAGAAGAATGGAAGTTCTCCTGAATTTCCCTTCAGGTAGAGGTTGGAATTTTAAGTGGGGCTGTTACATTTCCTACTAAGGCCCTAGTTTAAGTGACATGAGGCTCATGCCTCTGCATCTCTCCCCAGCTCTAGCAGTTAGTAAAGCAAAAGGCAAAGTCTGGAATGCAAATTCTGGTCACCACAGGAATACAGAGATGTGCTGTGCAACGCAACCAGTGACCTTTAGAAAAAAAACCAGTTCCTGGAACTGTCCTTCTACAGTGTAAATAGAATAACTGTGAAAACTTGAGTATATGAGCAAATAGACACACAGTGCTGGTTTAAAAAAGAAAGGGCCAAAATAAAATGCTATTTGTGTCTGTGAAAAGCAGCAGCATAGACAGTTTTTCATAGAGTCGAGAAAAATCCTGGGCCTGTGCTCCTCATGTCAGTGGGGGACCATGCCCTGAAATGAAGCCTTTGGCTATTTGGGGATCCCTGAGAAAATGATGGCTCAAGGAAATCACACTGCTTTCCTTCCCCACTATATCTATGCTGCCTTCAAGGCCTTGTTTCTGCGCTTCAGTGTGCAGATGGACTCCACCCACACACTATTAGTAATCATGAACCTAAGTCTGAACTGGGGAAAGGGGCACAAAGGATGCAAAAGCACACTTCCCTTTATCACACATTGCTGGAACCTGTAGGATCAGAAGGACACAGCTTCTGCCTCTTCTGTGGTCTCCAAACCTCTCCTACATGAGGGAAGAATTTCAAGGAAATTTCAAGAGGTGAGGGCCTGGAGTTTATTTGTTTTCTCAAGTCTCCTGGGAGAGATCTTCAGCTCTGTCGAAATCAATGGAGTAGTACTGATTTATACCAGCTGAGAACCTGGCTCACTGTTTCACTTCTGCAGGAGGGTACATTTGGACCCATAGCTTCAACAAACGTTTAATTTTCTATGAAAACTTACTGGTTAGCAGCAGCCCAGCTGTTGGAGAATGGCTATCAATGTTGGCTCCTGCAGCATATGCACTTGGCTTCATCAATTTCCTCCATTAAACAGAATTGGACACCTCAAATTACGTACATTTCTGAAAATTGGAGGCCTCATACCCACTATGACAGCCTTATGGTAGAAATTAATATGTTCTTTAGAGGATGACAGACAGAAAAACTTTTGGTGACCTATGACCATAATGTCAAATGTCAAATTTGCTTTTTGTTCCTCCTAGAATCTGAGGCCCCAAAAAAAAGAGAGTGCTGCTCTGATGGGTAGTTGGAAATAGGGTGAAAAAAAACTCTTGTGACTTTTTGCTAACCCTTCATGGAGAAGTCAGATGTCAGAGCTATGGTATCCCTCTTCCTGACCTAATGGCCCATGATGTGCATGTGTTCTAAAATTCAAGATTCAAACTGTACTGGAACATAGGACCCACTCCCGTTGCAAGAGTGATGCTGTATCTCATTTTAATTTTTTTATTATTATTTTGCATAAATCTTTTGAACGGGAAAACAAACACGATTTGTGACTCTTTTTACAAAGTGAATTAGCATTCCTAAAAGAAGCTAGGTTGAAAGTCCTGTACACAGAAGTATCCTACCTTTAGCCACAGAACTGTATTTCCAACAGGAGAACTGCAAACTTCCTAAGACTACACTGCCTATTTATTTAACCAAGACCTGAAGAGAGGAACTCTTCAGAGGGAACAGAGGCAGCTCAGTTTTTGAAAACATTCAGTTCTTTTAACTTTATGCTAAAAGTGGTAATAAAGCTGCCAACAGCTGTGGGAGTGATTTTAATCACTATTCACCTTGAAGTATGCTCATTCTAATTTCACACAGAAAGCTTAACAGCCAGTCAAATGACTTAATAGCTTTAGGTCATTACTGACCTGAGTTAAATTCAAACTAGCATTTCAGTTACAGAAGTCTTAATATCACACTGCTGATCGCCAGCTCCTCAAAACAAAACTAATTTACACTATACTTCTTCCTGATCTCTCTTCTCTCTCACTCTTGAGGATATATTTGTCAATGCTCCTTGCAGCTACACTTTGTATCCATTCAAAACACCAAGATTAATATGTTAAGAAAACATTTACAAAAATTGAATAGAAGAGTCCAGTAAGGTGAATGAGTGTAAAGCTCCTTTCTGAGATGGGATACACTATTCATTTCACACGGAGTCTTTTTTATTTTGATACTATAAAAGTTGCTTACTTACCATAGAAAGTCAAATAGCCAAAAATGGCGGTCAGAAAGTACATAATGAACATGGCAAAAAAGGAGATGTTTGAAACCATCTGCATTTTTTTCTGTGAGCGGCTGGAAAAAGAAAAAACCCATAAGGAACATTTGCACATTTGTATTGAAATAACTGTTAAAAAAATATCAAGTCTGTGTCAAAACACACTCAGTAACACTGCTGAGACTCCTAAATACATCTTCATTTAAAACAGAGCCCCCCCACTAGCCATACTGAAGGAGAGGAATGCCTTCCAATCTCGCTAGAATTTTAAGTCAACAGAAGCTAACAATTGTCCTGTCAGAGGTGTATAGCAGAACCCAGGGGTGGTCATGACATCCCCTGGTGACCCAGCAACTCCTGCCCCACTCAAGCTCCTTGGGGTACCCTCCATTTTTACCTTGCCTGACACTCCTTGATGCAACTTGTAGGGTTTCAGAAGGCTGCCCCAAGGGTCCCAGAGTGAGCCCAGTCTAGTTGGCCCAGCCTTGCCCCTGGGGCACTAAAGTTGTGGCTCTCTTGGGCTCCTCAGGGCTCCAGTCATCTTATGCGCTGTATTCATGGCCTCCATCCTCCCCTATAGCCATGCCCATGCCTTGCAGGCGTTAATCTGAGGTTCTCCACTGGGCCCTCTGGCCCTGCCCAACAACGCACTCAGCATGCCTGGCCCCTGACTCTGGCATGGCTCTCATGTGTATCCAGCCCCTGGCTCTAGTTCATCTTTCACCCCACTTGGGCTTCTGCCCCTTTCACCAGGCTTTAGCCCTCTTGGCCTAAGCCTATTCTAGTTTTAGCTCTTCCCTGGCTTTAGCCTCAGTACCACAGCCTTTGCCATCCCAACCTGGGCCTTCAACAGCCCTCAGCCCTCTGGGTCCCTGACTCCAAGTTAGGTTGCCTTCACTACATGTGGCCTTAGGCTTCCAAGCCTTGGTCTAACTCCTCCAGCCCTCAGGGCCCCTGGCCACAGCAGGCGGCTGTTGCCCCACATCAGTCCTCAGCCTCTGGGTCCCCAATCCCAGGCCAGACTGCTTTCACTCCTTGTGGCCATAATCCTCCCAGCCTTGGCCCAACTCATCCAGCCTCCTGAGCCCCTGGCCCCAGCAGAGTTCCTGTGGCTCTGCCCCAGTTCTCAGCCCTCAGCCGTCTAGGTCCCTGACTCCAGGCTAGGCTGCTGTCACAGACTGCCCCAATAGGCATCCCTCCATGGCCTCTGTCCTCCCCTACAGCCACCACCTGGTCTTTTGATTCCAAGCCTAATCACAACACAAAAACCAGAAAATCGCTGCACAACTAACATCCACCCCATTTTGGGTCACTGTCTGCCTGCAAGCTGTAAGTCCCCCTTAGGTCTCTCCTTCCATCTTTATGGAGCAGTTTAGCTACCTGCAAGTCTGCCTCCGGCAACCATCTCCCTCAGGAGCTCCTCTCCCTGCACCATGCAAGACCACACTGTCCACTTGGTCTCAGGCACTGGGTTACGCAAACCAAAGCTCTACCCCTTCCTGTCACACACAAGTATTTTCATTTTGGCTTAAAGGCCACCTGCCCTCCTCTGCTGCAGCTTCACCTAGCTGCTTACAGCCTTTACTCCTGGGCTACCTGCCCCTTGACTGTTTGCTGCAGTGCAGCTAGCTCCCTTTAAAGTAGCAGGGGTCTCAGGCTTCCTGTTACAAGGTGTAACTACCAATTTTGGTACTTCAAGCAGAGATGCTGTCAAGTATCAGAGAGCTGGGGAGGGATGCTGCTGGTATCCCCTCTAAACCAGTGCCTAGGCCTGGTGCTCTGCTTTAGTTATGCCAATGCCTCCTTATACTACTCTTCTGAGCAGCAAAGTAAGGGGCAGCTTGGAGCTGTAATTCCATTTAAGGATCAGGAATACAGGAGAGGAAACTCACACCAGGAGAAAGCATTTCAAATATTTCTAAAGTTGCTGCTCCATGATCCTTGGCTTCCTAGCCCTAGTGAGAGTTTGGCTGGCATAGCTTTATTGGTTAAGAGTGTGGAAGAAATCGTGTCCAGTTAACATAGCTATGTTAGCAGAAGTCCCTGTGGAAAGGTAGTTATACTGACAAAAATGTCCTCCTTTGGCAGAAACCAAGCTTTTGCTGGGAGGGTATAGTCATAATAGCAAATCTTTTCTATTGTAGGCAAAACAATATGATTTGTTTTTTGCAATGGACTTTTAGCTCCATCAGAACCAATGGCTTTAGAATACAAGTCTCTCCCATGCAAGCTGTAATAATTTGCACTGCTTAATTTTCAAAAGTAGCCATGTACGCCACAGAAAACCCCAGTAATATCATGCTTTGGAAAAGATAAATTCCACAAATTACAGGATTCCTCCTTTGTTTGTTATTTTATTAAAGTACCTCTCTTCTGAATGGAATAATGCACAGCAACTCTGCGCTAACATTTTCCATGCAAAACTATTCAAAACAATTAAGCAATAAAAAAAAAAAAATCTTACTCTTTAAGTTCACTGTAAATCGGAAGGACGGATGGGTGGCACACAAATGCAAAAGCAATGGTGGGCAAAGCATAAACAGTCTGTTTAAACATAACAGAAGAAAAATCAATTAAGAAACACGCATTTCTTTCCCAGCGCCAAAAAAAAAAAAAATATCAGTGTTTTAATTACCTCAGCTGAGGCTGAATAAGAGAATGTAACCTGTTGATTAAGTGGTTTGAGTTGTAGCCGTGTTGGTCTAAGGACATAGGCAGACAAGGTTCCTTGGGTGAATTTGATATCTTTTATTAGACCAACCCAAATGGTTGGAGAATAGTTATTAAGCAAGCTTTCGGGTTCAAAAACCCTTCGTCAGGCTAAGGAAGCTTCAGCAGTTGGTGTGTGCTCTTCCTGTCTCCTTGAGTTCTTGAGGAGAAAGAGCCCGTTATCTTGCTATCAAGCAACTCCCTGTGCCTGACAAAGGATGAGCATGAAACGGCTTTGACAGGACTCATGCCTAGTTCTCCTTGGCCAAAAGAATGGGACCATTCAATATGTAGTCTTATGGCTACAGATTCACAAAAGTGCTTAGCATTTTCTCCATGGGAGCTGACAAGTATTGAGTCTATTTGGTCCCTTATGGTTTGCTTTCTTGTATACACCTGAATTCAAACAAGATTGAGAAAATAGGTAGAAATATGTCACTAGGTTCTTCCTCCATATTAGCAGGGTTGCTTATTTTGCTGCCCCTTTTGCATATGTTCTTTTACTAGATATGAACCGATTGTCCTAGTCTCCCCCCGACTGCTACAAATGAGGGACAAAGTGAAGGATTTTCTGCGGCTTGCTTTTCTTTTCTTCATTTTTGCATGACTAGAAAAACATATGCTTGACCTTCATCAGGTGGAAAGAGGGCTCCTCATGCAATATATATCTTGAGCTATAAAAATGCTATTGGAGATTTAAAATATATATTAATTTTCGGGATGCAAACTGCAATGTCCACTCTAATGCTTAGAGAAGCCCGAAGGTGATAGTTTAGGCTTGGCCCATTGGCTGAAGCAGTTCAGAGGATTATTCTTTTAGCGGGCGTACTGCGAAGCATGCTATTTCAGGGAGACAAATACCTCCTGGAGCAGCATGCCTCAGCCTGCTTGCTCTCACCTGAACTCTGTCATTTGGTAAACAGAGGGGAAAAAGTGCACCCCCTCAGAAAATGAAATTAAAACATGGTGATTACATAAGCTGGGTCTCTGTAGCTACCCCATTACTACCCATCTATAGAAGGGCCAAGGAGAATCTGGTCTTAAATGATATGTTTAATTGACTTGGAACATGGAATGTCACTTCATAAATTATCTGGATTTTAAAAATAGTATAAGAAGAAACATACCTTGGAATTAAGGATAGCATACTTTGGCTTACACCCATACTCAGGTGCTGAGCTAAAATTTGATGGGATAATTGTTGTTGTATTTGTCTCCATTATGGGACAGAGTATTTGAAACTTCTTATAGATAACCTGGAATAGAATAGGCAGTTACTTGTAAAAAGGTATTAAAATCAAAACAAATGATTAATATTGGAAAATGCTGTAGGGGCAATGTTAACCCAACCAAGACAACAAGTAGAACTTACCACTACAAGGAAAAAAACCATGCAACTTAGGGAAAATCCACTTGTATATCCAAGATAACCTACAAGAAATTCACAATAAATATAATCAAGAACTAGTTCACTTGTCAGATTTGTGTGTTTGTTTTTTTTTTTTATAGCTTATTACTTCACACCATAGTTGAAGTTATTTCACATGATATATTTCATCCATTATATTCTGTGTTGAATTTATGGATCATACAAAAATGTGTCTCTGTCATTTCACAAAGCTACTAGATTTAAGACAAATTAGAGCTTTTTTTCCAATATTTTTTTGGCTCATGTTCATTTTCCTTCCCAGCCTTCTCTTGGATCACTTTTTACTCTTTTTTACTTTTGAAAGGGATTTTCATAACAGATGCAATCTTCATAATAGGCAACTGCCATCACAACACATATGAAGTCATGATGTGCATAAATATTAAAATTTACCATGGGATAGATTATCCAAAAGATTTCAATTTTAATTCCAGTGGGATTTCAGTGTATCTATAGGCACTTTTTGAAAAAAAACAAAACCAAGAGGTGCCTGTCAGCATCTTTAGGAACCTAAATACCTTTGAAAATCTGGGCTTATGTATAACAGTAATATAGCAGTAATATACATATCCATATATACATGTTACATATACATCAACCATTGATTAAAATTTTGAATTTTGACAGAAAAGTAGATAATATTTGTCAATTATTTTGCAATTTGTTTAAATATTTTATGTTATATTTTATAAGCACTATGTAATGTCAATTTACTTTATGCAACAAACATCTACTTGACTATAAAATTAGTAACCTATTCCTACAATCAAGTACAAAAGATAACAACACATTATTTTGGATACGGTTCTATACTAAGTTCATTTGTTATGATAAACTTAATGTAGTTTGGCTTGTTCCAGGATGCCCAACACATGGCTTATCCTTGGGGCATCATGGCTATCTGGATCATGACAGGGTGGCAGTCCATTCCATTATGATGGAACTGCCAATGTTACCCTTACTAGAGCAATGGCTGGATACCTTCATTTTATACCACTGATAATACCTGTATTCTTACCTAAATTCTTAAGCAAACACAAGGGGAGGATTATACCAAATGTCACAGCTACAACAAGAACTCTCCCATCCAGGTACCATGCCCTGTAAAATATTTCAAAGGTACAGTGAAATGTCCTCTTGTATATCACGACTTTTTCTTTACACCGAATCAACTATTTTTAGTTCAGTAGTTATTCTTAATTCAGTAATTATAGAATGATCTCTGGCTCTGTTTATGCTGCAAATTTAACTAGATGCAAAAACTAGGCAGGACCAATCTCTGAACTTCTCAGGGCACTGGCTACACGTGGCATCAATGAAGTATTTTACTACCCATTTCTTAAAATGTGGCACTGGTTTGAATCAGAACTACAATAGATTTTCAGTCACTGAACAAAATGTTGGTGCCACTGGTAGAAGCTGTGGCAGGACTGGAAGGTTGAAACAATATCAGCAAGCATTAGACACAAGCCATCCTGCTAACACAGGAAAATACTGCTTAAGGGGGAGAGATATAGGGAATGTCTGCAAAACGGTGGTTCAATCATGCCACTGAGGAAATAAGCCCTGCACAGCCACCCCCACTGTTTTATCAACCTTGAAACTGAGACAATAAGGATATCTGGCACTTTACTCAAGACCTGGGCTTCCAACAGGCTCAGGAGCAACAGCACAGGATGCACCCAGGGAGCCTAATGGTTTGTGGCTATTGGGAAAGCTGTCAAAATGGGGGAATATTTCCTATAACATACTTGTGTACTGTCTAGTCTAATATTAAATATCTCCAGGGAGAAGACTCTTTTTGCTAAATTACAGGTCATCATTGAACCCGGTGCAAAGGACACATACTGATGGAAAGAAATGATCCCCCACTTTGGTTTAAGAAGTTGGTATATGCCATCCATCAAGTAGAAACAAGTGGATTCTAGGCTAGGTAACGTCATGGTTTAATACTGTAGTACTCTACATCATAGTAAATGATTTAAGGTGTTGAGAACTCCCAGAGGTGCTGAGTACTTTCAATCCTTATTGATTTCAATAGGTGCCAAAGGTCTTCAGTGCCTTTAAGTCAGGGGTGGGCAATAATTTTGGGCAGAGGGCCGCTTACTGAGTTTTGGCAAGCCATTGAGTACCACATGACAGGCAGCCCAGGGCAGATGAATATTAATTTTCTAAATTTTTTAGGGTCCCCATGGGTTGGATAGAATGGCGTGGCAGGCTGCATCTGGCCCCCGGGCTGCATTCTGCCCACCCCTGCTCTAAGTTCTGCTTGATATTTTACAGGATCAGGTCCTAAGATAAGAATGTGGTATAAATCATTCTTCTGAAACACCTAGAGTGTAAAGGAAGCAATTAGTCAAGGCTCATGACTGACTTTCTCCTCCTTTTTTCCCCATCTTCGTTCCTTTTTATAATCCCACAGAAGAATCAGGGATACCCAGTAATTAGTGCTTTTGTAAACCCATCCTGACTTATCTACATGAGGTTTAAACTCTAAAGCCAAGTAGCAAAATAGAATTTAACTTACCAAAATGTTTCTTCTTCTCCCATTAGAAACTTTAAGGCAGAGGGCAGTTCAATTTTTACTATGAAAAGATAGCTGAGCATTGCTGCAAAAAAGAGTTTGTGTTAGAAAACAAACACAGCATCATATGGCGTGAGCACACAGAAGGGTACTTGATCCCTTCATCTCATGCCAACCCTATGTATTTTGCAAGATGATTCAAGATATGGAATTCTTTTTGGATTCTAAAGTACTGAATCCTAGCCCTACCCTCCAAGGTATCTACTAATCCTCCCAGCTTGGTATCATCTGAAAAGTTGCTGAGGGTGCACTCTTTCTCTTCCAGGTCATTGATGAAAATATTGAATAAAACCAGCCCTAGGACCAACCCCTGGAACACTCCACTTGATACTGGCTGCCAACTAGACATTGAGCCATTGACTATTTCCCCCTGAGCCCGATGATCCAGCCAGTTTTCTATCCACCTTACAGTCCATTCATCCAACCCGAACTTCCTTAGCTTGCTTGGAGGACTGTTGTAGGAGACCATATCAAAAGCCTTGCTGAAGTCAAGGTATATCATGTCCACTGGTCTCTCTGCATCCACAAAGCCAGTCAGCTTATCGTAGAAGGCTATCAGGTTGGTCAGGCATGACTTTGGCCTTGGTGAAGCCAGGCCAACTGTTCCTAATCCCCTCTTTCTTCTCCAAGTACTTAGAAATGGATTTCTTGGGGACCTGATCCATGATTTTTCCAGGGACTGAGGTGAGGCTGACCAGTCTCTAGTTCTCCAGATCCTCCTCCTTTCCTTTCCTTAAAGATGGACACTATATTTGCCCTTTTCCAAACATCTGTGACCTCTCCCGACTGCCATGAGTTTTCAAAGATGATGGCCAGCAGCTCTGCAATTACACTGCCCAAATCCCTCAGCATCCTCGAATGCATCCCGTCTGGCCCCAAGGACCCATACACATCCAGTTTTTCTAAATAGTTCCTAACCTATTGTTTTGCTACTGCTGGCTGCTCACCTCCTCCCCAAACTGCTGCAGTAGTCTGGGAGTCGACCTCGCTTTTGAAGACTGAGGCGAAAAAGACATTGGGTGTGTCTACATATGATGCTACGTTACTGGCCACAAACTGTGATGCCAATGCTACGTCACCATGGTAATGAGCTATCTTGCTATAGCATGTTGTTACAGTGATGTAGCTGCTAAAAATAACTGTGCGCCACCAGGATGGCACAGTAACATTATTTCCTAAAATTCTTCCTAATATCTAACCTAAACTTATCTTGCTGCAATTTGAGACTATTGCAATCCTAAAGCAAGTACTAGATGATGGCGCACTAACAACTGTGCTGTGGGGGGCATGTGTAGATGTGCCCATTGAGTACTACAGCCTTTTTTGCATCCTTTGTTACTAGGTTGCCTCCCCCATTTTAGTAAGGGACCCACACTTTCCCTGATCCTCCTCTTGTTGCTGACATTCTTGTAGCACTCCTTCATGTCCTTTGCTAGCTGCAACTCCAGTTGTGCTTTGGCCTTCCTGATTTCAACCCTGCATGCCCAAGCAATAGGTTTATACTTCTCTTCAGTTGTTTGCCCAAGTTTCCATTTCTTCTAAGCTTCCTTTCTGAGTTTTAGCTGATTGCAGAGTTCCTTGCTAAGCCAAGCTGATCTTCTGCCATACTTGCTATTCTTCCTACACATCAGGCTGATTCGTTCCTGAGCCCTCCATAAGGTTTCTTTAAAGTACAGCCAATTCTCCTGGACTCCTCTCCCTTTCAGAATGACCTCTCAGGGGATCCTGCCTGTGAGCTCCCTGAGTGAGTCAAAGTCTGCTTTTCTGAAGTCCAGAGTCCTCACTCTGCTGCTCTCCTTCCTTCCTCAGGATCCTGAACTCAATCGATTATTTTGTGGTTGCTGCTGCCCAAGTTGCTATGCACTACTACATTCCCCAGCAATTATTTTCTGTTTGTGAGCAGCAGTCAAGAACAGAATGGCCCCTAGCTGGCCTCTCCAAAAACTTCCTGGATTGTCTGTGCACTGCTATATTGCTCTCCCAGCAGGTAATCCCAGGTGGCCAGGAAGAGTATGCAGGCTGACAGGTTTGACCACAAATTAATTTGAATAAACCAGATTAATGTACAGATGTACACAGCACTGTCCCAGGAAAACGTGTTAGTACATTTTAACTTGCATACTTTGCAGTCAGTTGAAGTGGGACAATGGATAGGTACCTCTGTAGGTCCCAGGGAAAAGGCCTTATCCTGGGAGAAATGCCACATCTTGCTTACATCCTGGAAGAATACAAAATTGAAGGGCCACATAAAAGCCACATATATATCTCCATTCCTAAGGTTTACTTTTGTGGGTTTTTAATCCCCGTTTTACCTCCAATGTTCTGGAGAGAAGTGGATCCAAAAACAATAATTTTTCCTGGAATGCCAAAGACCTGCTCACCCAGCTTTTCATACACCATGCAGCCTAGGTTAAAACAAATGAAGGAGAACTTAAAAACCAGTGGTGACCAGGAACTATGAAGTCAAAACTGTTAAGATTCCTCTTCAACTAACTGCTCATCTATGTTGTTATTCCTTCTGTTGACAAGAAAATGTGTCTCTTCTATAACAAATAGGGGTGAAGGATACTTATTTGAAAATGTCCTCACATTTTTAAATGTCACAAGAAGTGATTGGTTGCCACATGAGTTGAAGCTCATAATGGGGCTGTTATGTCCCTTTAATATAGCAGTCCACCTACAATCTTGTGACATTTACAGTACTGGCATCCTGATCTTAAGTTTTCTCCCTCAATAGGAATAATATAAAGAGATCTAACTGAAGATAAAATGCAAAACAGCAGGGATCTGCACTCTGGCACACAGGTGTGAGAGCAATGCTTTAATTCCATTAACTGATTTATATGAATTCAATGAGGCCAGATGAATATTAATAAATTAATATTTATATTTCCTTAAGATCATATACTCACTCACGAATCCTCTTTTTTATGCTTCCTATGAAAAAAAGGGACTATTGATAACTATAATTAAACCTTGTTTAAAGCCTGTCCAACTCAACAAGCAGTGAGTTGGACAGGCCATTCCAGTAAAATTTATCATTTTTCTCTTGTAGTTGTGGCCTCTATTAATTATAAGCCATTCCAGTAAAATTTAACGTTTTTCCCTTATAGTTGTGGTTTGGGCTGATCCAAAAACCTTAGCACAATGAACACAGATTAGAATGCAGCAAGACCAGAAGAGAAATCTCAGATGTCGAACTCCACGGATTGTCTCAAAAAGCTGCTATGCTGTTCAGACCTCTCACACTTCCGCTTAGCTGACATTTTCTCTTTGAAACTTGCAGGAACAAAACCCAAAATCTGTTTGAGTTTGAATTTAAGCCAGCACAGCCTAGAATCAAGGCTCAAGATTTTTTTAGGGTTGAAAGGGTACATATATGTATGCATCTAGTACACATCTACTTTGACTACTGCAGCCATAGTAGTGGTGTAGGATGTGGACATACAACATATTTACACGAGTATGATCTGCCTTTAGCCCAGTGTAAATGGGGAGCATACACATGACGTGCAGCCTAGATCATTCTACTGTGGTATAGTTACCCTGCAAAAACCATCAGTGCACACATGGTATGTCTGTATCTCCTTTCAGTTTCAACTGATTATCCCTAGATAACAGTTTGTTCAAGATATTACATGCTTTTTCATTATCTAGTGGCAAGGCACTGTAATAACAGCCTATGTTTTGATACTTCAGCATGAACTAGTCTGTCTGTTCTTAAAACTAGAGTAATTCATATCAGTGTACAAAATCTAAATTACTCTGGTGTAAACGTGCTCTGTCTTGGAGGTTCAAATGTGTAAACATTCTTGTGCAGGGGTATTTTTTTAAATTCTAGGCCTACAGGTTATCTTAGAACAGATATTCTTGGCCTATGATCAATGAGGCACTTAACATTAGAATAATATGCGTGTGTGTGTGCGTGCATGCATGCATGTGTGATGGACTGCATACAAGGACTGCTCCTTCTCCCTTTATAGAGTTTTACTCTGGATACAACAGCAACACCATTGTTCTAGTGATGCCATTTCATTCCCTGATAAGCCTCAGGATAAACATGAGCTCGTTGTACTTTGAATTACAACCTACATAGTCTAATGGATAATCCATGGCTTTCCTTCTACCTCACTATAGCTTGGGTAGGTTCAACTGCATCATTTTTCCGCTTTATAGCAATAAGCCAGGCTTTGCCCTCTGTCACTCTGGTATAAATCCTGAGTAACTATGGCTTAGAATCTCTCTATGTGTTTCTACAGTGTCATCAAACTGATGGGGGGGAAAAGTGTTTTAAATTCTTCTGAGCAATTTTTATTTTATGTGCTCTATAATCCTGCTACATTGATAAACATCCTTTCAAGTTACCTGTTTCCTTTGCACATATCAACAGGAGATTTATTGAATAAATAGACAGCAATGTCACTGAAATCAAAAGCACCCTAAAAGAGAATGGAAAAATAAATGTTATAATAATTGAGATCTTTTGTCACTGCATTAATCTATGGAATTATACTTTCATTTAGCCTAAGCCTCTTTTATATTCTTTTACAAGTATAGAGAGTTCCTAATGTGAATGTAAGTGTCATATATATACTCTATATAATCCTTTATGCTATTATTGTACTAGAAAGGAGGTCTGTATAGATGAGAATCTGGGCCTTCACAACATACTTAATAGGCACAGAGTGTTCCCATATTCCACGAGTCTTGAATAAAACCAAAATAAAAATGTCTTACCATATAAGGAGTGATAGCAGTGGTGAGCTAGACAAGCAGGTGGGGGGAGGTGTTTAATGCTCTCTGAAAGCTGAATAAAGATTTCAGGAGGCATAAGGGCCAAAACCAAATGTCCTTTCTCAAGCCAAATTCTAGGTGAATTTGCTTTCTGCCTCTGAAGTGCAGCAAACAAGTGGGAATGTAGCCATTTACCCCAAATGAAATGCTTAAAAAATGACCCTTGAAAAAAGAACCTCTTGGAAATGCTTCATGTAATGTAGCATAGGCAATCCTTCCATTGATGGGTCAGAAGTTGCACATGCTTCTGCAGAGGAGAGTAGGCTGTAGGCCAGGATTTCTCATTTTTCTTCCTTCGTTCTCTCATGTAATGTGTACACCCCCCAGAGTGCTATAGGTGGTTGCTCAGTCCTCTTGCATCCTAGTGCTTTGCTCCACCCTGGGGCTCAACAGGTGGAAAGACAGACCCAACAAATACACTTCTATATGCTCAAAGGTCCTTGAGAACCTCTGGAGACTGGCGGCCAAGAGACATGTTGGGATTCCTGCTTTCCAGTACCTTGGCTGGAGAGCTCTAGCACTATTGCTTTCATGGACATTTTGAAGCACTTAGAGGAGATAGGTGGTGGGCTACATATCTGCACGGTACTGAAGCACTCCGAACTGGATCAGGATTCAGAGCATTTCCAATAGAAGTCTGCCTGCACACTTTGGCTCCTAGTGTGCCACTGCCTCTGGCGACCAGGGGGAAGAACTGCATAAGTGGCTCTGCCCACTTTTGGACAGAATGCAGTGAGCTCTCAGCCTGAAAGCTGGCTTTAACAGGTGTAGTCCCTTGCCTTGTATTGATATCACTGCTAGCCCTAGCCTCATACTAAGGCTTCATGCTATAGGTATACCTCACAGGTCCTCTCTGGGACTTATACTCCCATGGCTGCTCTCAAACATGCTGGAGTCCAAGGTTTTGAGAGGTACCGCAGGGAGACGCCCCAGTATGTTTACCTGCACATTTCTGAGTAGGCAATCATTGCCAAGTCTAGTGCCTGACCTTGCAATGAAAAGGGCTGAGACAGAAGGAATTTGTTGCTACCTACATTGGGATTAGGGTTCCCTTCCCGATCTTGTTCCTGTGCTGTAGTGATGGGGCATCCATGATGTGGCCCCTGAGCTGACAGTGCTGACCTCCAGAAAGAGTATAGAGTTAAGACAGGAATCAACATCAAGTTGATAAGTGCCAGACACTTGCCAGCACACCCAGGAACAAGGCAGGCCTGTGGGTCAAGTGCAAAACTATTTGCTCAGTGGTCCATCTCTACTAGGACAGAGCATATTTCAGGAACTCCACATTTTTCTCTTTTGTATGTGGTTACTCCAAGACAGATAATATCTACTAGGGATGTAAATATTGTTTTAAAACATATTCATGTAACCTCCTCTAATTATATCTGTGTAAGGATTAACAGTCAACACAGCAGCTCCCACACAGCTGCTGCTGGGAGCTGCTCCCGGAGCCCTTTGACTAGGGGGAGGGGGCGAGGAGTCAAGCCCAACCAGACACATAACCCAGGTAAAGCCCTGAACTGGCAGGGAGAAAACATCTGTGAAAGAACAGCTAATTGCTTAATTGATGAGTTACCATGAGGCTGCTGTTTTCCTTTTAGGCTGTGTACTAGTCCCCTTTGCTCCCCCTTCCAGCCTTCTGCGGACACTGCCTGGCTTTCCTTCCCCACTTTCCTGCCAGATTGCGCCTACCCCAAGCTAAAAGATAACGGGTAAGCTAACCAGTTATCACTGCATTTATCGATTAAATGATTAATTTTTTTAACTTTCACACCCGTAATATCTACCTGGTTATCATGCAGTGTATGATTTAAATGTACCTTGCAGTACCACAAAAATATGCCTAGAGTTAAACAAAGCTAGCTGCTATTTTATGGGGTAGTTTGAACTGCCAAGACAGCTTTTCACGGAGAGGTAAAGGTAGGAAGAAAATGATATTCTTGTGCTGTCCTTAGGCTAGAAATACTTTAGAGCTAAACTACAGCTGTCCTTGCATAGACGGCACAGGGCCAGGGGGAAGAATAAAAGAGTAAACTTTTTCTCAGGACCTACTGCAAAGCTGCACTGCTTGAGGACAAGGAGGCAACAGATGACAACTGCAAATAGCATTGATCGTTCCTAAGAATTTGTCCACTGGGTCTGCACTGAATACTGGCTAATGCCTTAGGGTACAGTAAGTACTGCTGCTGAGTGGCTCCCTCCAGAGACAGCATGCCTATTTGGGCACTAGGAAGGCACATGGGCATTACTGCCTGGCTTTTGCAGCCAGTCCTTCCCAACACTGAGTGGTTCGGGCTGTACAAGATGTAACTGAGTCCTTAATATTAAAACTGCTGTTTTTCAGATTCCAAGCTAATGGTGTCTCTGCAGAGGTAAAAATAACAGTCCCAAATCAGCCAGGTAATCCTATGATCTGTTTTTCTTACCTCCCCTCAAGCCTTTCACAAGTCGCTATGAGAAACTCGGTCTTTTCATTAAAAATATATGAAAAGCCTTTTTGTGCAAGGGCAGTGGTTTGGACAGATGAGTGCCAACAACATCCCAAGGAATGGAACAAAAATGTTAATGCCACCAACTCTCAAAAAATTAAAAACAGAAGGAATGAAGTTTAGGCAAGTCTCTAGACTCTAACGGTTCTCATGCTCCACATGTTGCTGACTTTAAAAAGTGCTGGCATCCAAAAAAGCAATACACTTTCTCACAAAGCCGGATTAAACATCTTGGGACAGGGAATGATATAGGATTGTGAGGGCAGAATCCCACTTGCCTTACCCGCCCCACCATCACGCTGTCCATCCAGAGTTGGGACCTCAACAAATCTAGCCCACTGCACTGCAGAAGCCAGCATTTTGTGACTGGAGGATATGTGGAGTTGAAGTATTAATTGCCTACTTGCCCCTCCTTCCCCCCTCCTCAGCTCTGCCATACAAATCATCTCAGCATTGTCTTGTTAACCTGGACATAACAAAGCTTGTTTCAATGGCAACTTCAGGGGCAGAGCTTCTTTAAAGGTGTCTGTGGGCTGGTCAACACATAGCCTTCTTCAGCCATGATGATTTCTTCCTTTCAGGCATATATAAAAAGTCTTCCTTTGGCACAGCTTGTAGTTATTAGCTATATTAGACTGTCAACTCCTAAGGGGGCTCTTGTTTTATTTTATACCTGGAAAGCACCATACCTACCTATAGCATTTAGTCACACAAATAATATCACCATAATTATTTCCTGCTTTATTTTGCCTTTCATTTGCTAAGACAATCAAATCCCAATGTTGACCTTAGTTGGCTGCTGTAAATCAGGTATGAACCCACCAAAGTCAAGCTGTTAAGCTGTTATGAAAGTGCTGTGGATGTAAATCTGCCCTGAGTTTTTAACTGTATAACTTTCCCTTTCCAGCTTTACTACGTACGTATGGGGCATAGCATGTGGTTTTCCTGCATCACAATCTACCCAGTTCAAAGTAGGCTTGGAAATACTTTGGAATATTTTTACTTAAAAGCAGGAAATACAATATGCATCTCCCTGTCTTCAAAATACAATGGTAACATTAATTTGTTCTTGCCTTTGATCGTCTGCTAATAAGCTGCAAATCTAGAATGTAATACATATATTTGTTGTATGTGATTTGTATATATGTAAATCAACAGTGAGGAAAAAAAAAGAGTCGGATGCTCTGGTGGATTGGGGTTAATGCTGTCTGCAATGCGTGAAACAGGAACATTTTGAACAATTCTATTCTTTGGCACAGAGCTCAAGATGCCACATTAATATTTTGTAGCTACAAGCCTGGTTTGGAGGCTCTATACATGCTAGCTTGCTTCTTACTCACCAGCTTGCCACGAACTACTTCACCTTTAGTTTTAAAAGATTTGTCTGCACTAACATTAACAGAACTGAAACCGTTAACCAGATAGCAACAAGTGTGACTAGAAAAATTAGTACCCATCCTTAAATGTGGGCAATTAATTAGGTGAAAAATAATTCTGTTCTTTATAGTTTAAAAAGTATAGCTAACATTTATCTTAGCCAAATACTTTATACAACATTCCACAGATCTATACAGTACTTGGGGCAAGACTGGTCCAGCAAAGACCACTAAAAGCTTCTCTGTTTTTTTTTTGTATCATTGGTATGACCTATTTAGCTGAGAAATTTTCCTTTTTAGTTCCTTTACAGCAATACACACTCTTCAATTCTCCAAGAAAATGTATACTTACTAGAAGTATAAGTAGCTTCTTAGTAAAGCTAATGATTTCAATATCATTGTAAGTGTTGATGAATGGCCCAGAGAAGGTTCTAGTTTATTAAGAACTGAAACTGGAAGAATAAACCTAGAGGTCTCAGTTAGAATAATTGTGGGGTATTGTATAAAGCTCAGTGCAGTACAAGGAGCAACTGCAAATAAAATTCCTTTAATATAAATCTATGTTGAAATAACCAAGCGCACGAATTAGATCTCACCTATGACTTTGGTCTGGCCTAATTATGACAAGAGTTAGAGATCTAAGTGAAATCAGGATAAAATAGGCCTAATGCTTTGGAATGTTCTGGAGTTTGAATCCTGTTCCTGTGACAGCTATTTCTCATCTACACTAAATTTTTAAAGTCTCTTTAAATCCAGGTACATGATTTGGTTACAGCTGTA